CTTGGAGCTCAGCATTCCAGTTTTCTTGGAGCTAGTCTTACACAAATACTTTAAGAGATCAGGCAGTTTTAGTGTTTATTGCATAGAAGACAGAAAAGAAAAAAAAAGCAAGAACGTTAGAGTGAGCAAATGCAATTAAAAATGATCTTTTATATCTTCCTTCCTCTCCCAAACAAAAAACGATGAGTGATACAGGGTTTCCTTCAGAAAACAAAGTAGATTATCATTGTTAAGAAACTTCTGCATTTTATAATCTTTGCTCATTTTAATTTTATCCCTTAATGAAATAGAACTGCTTTCTAAGCCTTGCAATTGTGCTATTTCCTTACAAGCACCTCAGCAGGCTTTATAGGTAAATTTCACAACAATTTGGAATCGTGCTTTTGATCCGAGAGATCATCTTGGGTTCAGATGCTGGTGTGTTTTTTTGAAACCACAGTTAATTATTCATGCAGTAAGGTCAGTTCCACTGCTTTAATGATGCTAATATGCTTAGTACAGTTCGCTCAGACTGCATGCCTGTCTCTGCCCATATAGATGTGCCATTAGAAGTTACCATTCCTCATCATTCATTGCCACACCTGAACTTGGGAGTCTGTGTTTCTCCTGAAACTCCCACTGGAGCTGCTCATGAGAACACTCTCAGCCCTACTTCATTAAGCTCATAGAATCACAGAATGGTTAGAGATGGAAGGGACCTTAAAGATCATCCAGTTGCAACCCCCTGCCATGGACAGGGGCACCTCCCACCAGACCAGGTTGCTCAAAGCCACATCCAGCCTGGCCTTGAACACCTCCAGGGATGGGGCATCCACACCTTCCCTGGGCGACCTGTTCCAGTGTCTCACCACCCTTAGAGTGAAAAATTTCTTCCTAATATCTAATCTAACTATGTCCTCTTTCAGCTTAAAACCGTTACCCCTCATCCTATCACTACATTCCCTAATAAAGAGTTCCTCCTTTAGGAAGATCTAAATGAGTTTAAGCAGTAGGTCTTTGCTGATCCAGCTCATTTTGACAAAAGCTGTTTTAGCCTATGTTTATGTAAGCAGGCAGGTTTGGGAAATAGTATCTGGCAAAGGAGGACTGATGAGTACCAAAGGGTCGAGCTGGTGAATGGCTCCTTTTTCACTAACACGAGGTTTAAATGCTTTGTCTGTCTGTTAAACCTTCAGTGTAGCTCCAGTGATGCTGATTGTTTTGAGTTGGTACTGATGAAATTAATCCTGTAAAGGAAAAATAAATAAATTAGTACTTCTCTAGCAATTTATATAGTACTATAGTTATCATTTAAAAATAATACAGAACTCCACACTACAAATTTAGTTAATCGCTTAAAACAGCGTGCAAAGATTTTAAAGAAGAGTTAAATAACATGATACTTAGCTTCAAACATGCAATGTTTAGTTGATAATACGCAGTTTGTGAAGATTTACTAAATTTTCAAAACTGGATTTCAGTACAATAAATGTATATTTCAGTATATTTTCAGTATATGTATATAAAATCCATGGCAGGTTTGAAACGTTGCATTTTGATTTGTTTTGGAGTGTAATATTTTATTTATCACGATTCAAAAATAAACTGATTGGTTTAATGGGGGACAAGGAATTTCTTTTCCCATCCTAGATAATGCTTCTAGAATGTTGAAACTAAATTAACTACATTTTAGGAACACAGTGATGTGTTAGAAAACGAGCCTGTGTTACTTTGTTCAAGACTCAACGTTTTTAAAGGTGCTACTGGATAATTGTATATAAAACACAAATTACTAAATGTACTTTCTTGTTTATTACTGGTTTTATGGTTTATTTATGTCTGTGTGCCACTAATTAAATTTGAGCATCAAAAATTGAGTAATGAGCTTTAAACTGTCAACAGTAACTTAGAAAGTATTTTCTATATGCTTATGTAATATCTTAGGGTAAGCTTTAATGGTTTGGAAAACAGTAGAAAACATGAAAATGCAAACATCATTGTCATGTCAACATGTCATCATTTTTAAAGCATACTGTTAAAAGTTGGAATTTTAAGGGATTTAGATGCTAAAGCTATCATTTAGGAGCGCTGCAATAGCAATATTTTTGTTTATGCTTTGAGTCTCATTTAAACATTTAACCTGATTTAACAGTAAGTAAAATAAAATGCTTCCCAGTTTAACAAAATGGAATTTTATGCTCTTAAGTTAAACCTTTCTGATTTGCTTCTGTGCATCAGCTGTTTATTTGCATTTCTGTTGCAACCACAGTATATATGCTGACCTGCTCAGACTTTATATCATTAGCTAGTTTGAAATCTCATTAAAAATTATCCTGGAAGTGACTTGAAGTTCCTGAGGTTTGAAATACATTTTTAGAGTCTTCGGGGAAACACGGTTTGGAAGATCCAAGTACTGGGAAGCAGTATTACAGCATAAAAGAATTCAGTCTGGGGCAAGGATTTATGTATATTAGCACCTCCATTAAGGCGAAGGTTAGCATTTTAATATGGAGTTAAAAACTTAGTGTTAAATTATGAGTTATAGTTTAAAGTGAAAGTTTCTTGGAATAGATCTGGCTTTTAGTTTTGTTTTTTGTAGGAAACAGTAAAGAAGTTATTTCAAATCATAAAGAAGTAAAGCGTGTTTAGCAGCTGCCTGAACCATATCTTCTAGATGTTGATGGTGAATGTCACTATTTTTAGGTTGATATACTTTGGAAATAGATGGTGTCAAACCAGTGCTTTCGAGATCACTGGAAAAATGCAGGCTGACCCTGAAAATGGGTATGAAGTTTGTGGCAGGGTTCTTGTTTCATACTTGTGACCTAAATAGCTGAATATCCCCTATGCAGGGATTGAAGGAGAGGGGAATGAAATGAAAAACAAGCTACGAAATACAGTAAAAGTTCAGGAAAAATACTCATACTTAGAAATCTCCAGAGCCGTGATGTGCTGTACTTGTGTAAGAAGGATCAGAAACCAGAGCTTGGGCACATGACCTCAAGCTACTCAATGCAAATGCGGGAGCGTATCCTCAGGTTTTTGGCAAAGGGAGCCGCTTTCTCGCTGTTCGAAGTATGCTACCAACTAAACCAGTCTCTGGCTGCAGTGCTAACTTTGGCAGGAGAAGAAATGGTTGGATACTCTCTGAAGATCGAAGGCAATGAGGTAAGATACGGCTTAAAACGAGTTGAAAGTGAAGAATCCAAACTGAGTCAATAATTTAGGTTGTGATAGTATTTCATAATGGTGTAAATTGTTTCTTTCAAGGTTATGAAAAGGAAAATAAATGTATGCACGTTATCTTGTCCCTCTTAAATGATGCTGATAAAATGTATTATGCCAGTGTGATGAAAATGTTAAATTATTGAAGATACAAGTTTTAATGCTGTATAAAATGTATTTTGCTTTGTTTGCATGTTTTTCCCCTTTGTAGGCTAATCAGAAAGTCAGACTCGGTTCATACAGCGCAGATCTTGTACTGAAAGTAAAATTGTAAATTTTCCCCTGCATATAAATGTATGTAACTTTATGAATAATGGAGAATGTTTCTTCATGTTTCAATATTGTATATGCAAGTAGTTACTAATTGTAAAGGGCTTGACAGTCTGCTCACTGGATTTGTTCTGGAGAGAAAATTTTGAAGTAGTACTTAATGCAAAACAAAGCCATTTGTCTAACAAAAACCTGGTGTACATGAAGCTGCATGCTCTGAATGGATTATTGATTAAATTTATATCATTTTATGGAATGACTATGACTGCTTTGAAATCTCCAAGTCTTATATTACCTTCCTACATTTCCCTGCTATAGAATATATCCCTTATATGCATATAGAAATTAGGATTGGTAATACTTTTTCTTCTGTAATGCTTAGGGGAAAATTTGAGAAAAACTTTTTCTCCTCATATGGAGTATCAGCCATGTGCATGCTTACAATAATTTTTTTTTGTGGTCTGATTTCTTAAGTGGGAGAAGAGTTAAACTGAAAAATAGATGAGCGTCAGATGTGAGCCCCAAGAGCCATGGTTTAAAGTACTGAGAATATTTATCTTTGAGGCAAAAATCAGTTTTCAATCTGAGTTTTAAATCTAAAATTACACTTTTCTACATCCCTGCAGGCAGACCTCTTTATGTGCTTTTTATGGTTTAATTTTTCTGTCTTCTGAGAAGAAGTTTAAGTGTGCCCAAGAAAGCTATACTTTTACATAGTTTTAGAATAATGTATCTTGCTAAGGACTGTACTGATAAAAAAAACCCTTTTCTTCAAATCTCCTTCCTTCTTGTCTTTCATAGAGACTTGCTTTTTTCAGCATTGATTACTTTTCCTTTTGGGAGTTTTTCATCCACATGCAAAGGTTTCCAAGATGATAAAAGATAGGAATAACAGATAAAAATACAGAGTTTGTACCTCTTCTTTTTTTTTTTTTTTCTTCCTTCTTTCTTTTTTTCAAAAATGCATACATACATTACTAAAAGTTAAAAGGAGCAAGCTTTTAAGCTTTTCTTTCTGATAGATTTTTATAGTAATATTTTATAAAACCTTACTGATTAGAAACAATTAGATCTTTTTTTTTTTTCTTCAATTGAATTATTTTCATGAAATAACATGGATTCATGCTAAAGAATCCAAGTCAAGGATTAAGACCTCATTTTTCACTCTGGAATGGTATTCAGTAATCTTGAGCCCGGCAATTTAGAGGATTTAGAAATACAGATATTGTTCTGAGGTTGTTTCTCTGGTGAAGTAATAAACTCATAAATATCTCTCTGTACTTTGTGATGTTATACTGATGTTTAAATTTGAATTTGTTAAATAGAATTATTTCTGTATTCATCCAAGGTCGTACTCTCTGTCCCCATGCATAAATATCACAGAATTTACCACCAAAATGTATCTCTTGCTCCAGAACTTGCCATAATGTTTAATATATGATGCAGACTGTATCAAGACCTTAGTTGTAGTATTCTAAGTTTACGTATATAACTGTTTACGATTTTGTTGCATTTACTAGGTTTGCTGGGATGGGTAATCTTCTTAAGGTCCTTACCAGGGAAATTGAAAACTATCCACATTTTTTCCTGGATTTTGAAAGTAAGTTCAAACAATTACAAGACAATGAGAGAATCTCTTTTCCCTGACTTAACAGTGAACTGAGGAAAAACTTAAAATCTGATTGCTTGCAGTGTGTATTTTCCAGCACAACCAATCTGTCCAAGACCTTGTCTCTAAAATCATTTGTTCACTCAGGACTCCTTTTCTCTTCCTTTTCTATTTTTCAGGAACCAAATGGGAAATCTTTTAAAAGTTCTCACTTGCACAGAGCTTGATCAGGGGCCAAATTTTTTCCTTGACTTTGAAAGTGAGCAAAGCTTCTTGCCTGGCTTGCCTTCTTTGCTTATTTCCTAATAAACTGCATGCGCTTATGCATCATAAAGCAATTCAAAAGGGATTTGCAAACAAATCAAATTACACTACAGTTGAATATTGCTTTTTTGATATTTATAAAACCACATAAAATTACTTAAATTCATTCTGAGCAGAGAAGGGGGCAGAATGATAGATATGCAAGTCAAACCTTACCTTGAATTAGTTTCAAAACATTTATGAGCCCTTGTTAAATTTATATATGGATGAACTTGACCTCAGGTTTCTTTAACAAATCAGGGTTAAAAAAACAAAACAAAACAAAACAAAACTCTTTTTGTTGCTTCCTTGAATGGAAACATATATTGGAAATAAAAATATAAGGCTGAAAAAAGATAAGCAGTGGAGGTGGCACTATTTTTGCCTGGTTCAGTGATGATTTAACTGGGATTATTATAGTTTCTAAAAAATAGTGAAGTGGTCTAAGTGTATGTGCTTGATTGCATCTCTCTTAATTGCATGGTTATCAGTTTGCAAAAGCGTTTTGCATTCTAATTTCTTTGTCACATCTGTATCTGATTCAAAGCTATTTCACTTTTGGTGGGTACAGTTTCCCTGCATGTACTTCTAGACATTGTCTTGAAAACTGGTCATCAGATCCTTAAATATGGGCTTGATCTCACTCTACTACTTATGTGAAATTCTTTTTATTTAAAATGCTAACAGCGTGTGATGTGTTGTCCCTTAATACTTTTATTATAAAAAAACCTCAACCAACCAAACAAACAACAATAAGTTTTGAGAGAAGCTAGTGTTTTTAAAATAACTTTGGAACCATGGTTTAAGAGAGAATTCCAGGTGATTAGATGCACATTTTATCACCTTGAAATAGTTTTCTTGGTAGCTTTTGTTTATTCCTGAGTGATTTTTCAGGGGGGGGGGAGTTACTGACATGATATGAGACTGTATGTGCGTACGCACTCTGAAGCACTGGTTCAAAAAGTCATTTAAACACGTACTTAATTCTCATTAAATTGTTCAAACATGCTTTCTTGGATGAGAGGTAGAGTGTATGACTATACCTTTGCACATATCTTAATCTTCTTATCTAGATCTTATTTACCTCATTATGAGGAATCAGTTTTAAATGATGAAAAAACGTTAATTGGTTAGTTTGGGTTTAGGAGAAGGTACTGCGAGCTGTGTATCCCTTTTTCTCTTCTATGTTATTTGAGAATTTCGTTGTAAACCTGTAATGTCAAACCTTTACCCAAACCACCATGCAGTTTTTTTTCTGGCAACCTTTGGAGGGCCTCGGTAGCTCTCAGTGGCTTTGCTAAGCTGTTACGAAGGTTTTCAGCTGCTCTGAGCTCCCCGGTTTGGTCAGCCCCATCATGTCCTGGATGGTAAGAGGGTGCTCCTGACCAAGGCTGCGGACTTGGCTGGGAACAGGTGGTCCGGCATTGGAAACCCTTGGTGGAGCGGAGGGGATGGTGAGAGTGGAAAATATCTGTTTTAGTAAAGCCTTGGCAGTGAAGGTGGTTGGTTTTGTTTTTTTTTTTTTCCCCAAAAGTGCATTGCCAAGAAGTGAATGGTGTGAAGTGCCCTCTCCCACGGGAGGTGCCCAGCAGTTAGTGCAAGCACATGCGCACACTGGTCAGGCTCATCTGCCTAAAGAGGAACACAACTATCATCTCCAAATATCAGTGAGTTTGACACTCCTGAGCGACAGGTTGAAATGTTTTACTTGTGCAATAAAGTCCTGGAGGTTTTTATGGCACAAAATCTGTATTGTGTCAAAGGGATGTGACTGAAGATGCCTGTAATTGCATGCTTTGGTCTCCTTTTATTAGCCATCGTATGATGTAAAAGGACACTCTTAGTGGACATAGGTAAGAGCCTGCTTGTGTGCTCACTGGACTTCAGACTTTCTGTGGGCTTAGTTTCGGTTCAAGTTCATGCATGAATGGCCACTACAGTCGGCCATTCGGAGGGCGAGGGGTATGTTGAGTTGATGTGTTTGCTGTATATCATTGTTTACATCAGGATATTGCTTTTCGGTTTTTTGTGCACTTTTCATAGCTGAAAGCTGAAATCTCAAAGTAAATGTTTCAGCACTACTTCTGAAATGTTTACAGATTTTTTGGGTACTCCTGCCCTGTTTTTTTGTTGGTTTTTTTTTTTTTGCTGGTCTTCGTTTGGTATGTGTTGTACCTGAAAGGAGGGTGTGTGACATACTTCTTCCTGCTGTGCCTACAATGTGCCACACAAATACTGCTTAAAACAAACAAACAAACAAAGCCAACAAAAACCACAAACAACCTTTTTCCTTGTACACAGGAGTAGAAAAGACACAATTTGTCTCTCAAAAATCAGAGGTTTATGGGCTGATGTTCGTCAAAATTAATGTAAGTGTTTATACAAAGAAGTGGGAAAATAACATTAAGTTGTTAAATCCATTTGACCATTGATTTAATCTGTGGTGCTCAAAGGGGTCATCCCATGGGTGATGCTTTGCGACATAGTCTCATAGCCTCTTGCTAAAATTGAAATGTGCAAACACAGAATGGCACTCATGTGAATGGTACTGTGGTGGGTTGACCCTGGCTGGACACCAGTTGCCCACCAAACCGCTCCATCACTCCCCTCCTCAGCTGGGCAGGGGAGAGAAAATATAACGAAAGGCTCGTGGGTCGGGATAAGGACAGGGAGATCACTCAGCAATTACCATCATGGGCAAAACAGACTCGACTTGGGGAAAATTAGAGTAGGGTAATGAGAAATAAAACCAATTGTTAAAACACCTTCCCCCCCCACCCCTTCCTTCTTCCCAGGCTCAACTTCACTCCTGATTTTTTTTCTCCCTCCGTCCCCCCGAGCGGCACAGGGGGACAGGGAATGGGGGTTGTGGTCAGTTCATCACAAGTTGTCTCTGCCGCTCCTTCCTCCTCAGGGGGAGGACTCCTCGCACTCTTCCCCTGCTCCAGTGTGGGGTCCCTCCCACAGGAGACAGACCTCCATGAACTTCTGTAATGCGGGTCCTTCCCACAGGCTGCAGTTCTTCGTGAACTGATCTACTCTGTGTCCTTTCCATGGGGTGCAGTCCTTCAGAAACAGACTGCCCCAGCGTGGGCTCCTCTCTCCATGGGTCCACAGGTCCTGCCAGGAGCCTGCTCCAGTGTGGGCTTCCCACAGGATCACAGCCTCCTTCAAGCACCCACCTGCTCTGATGTGGAGTCCTCCACGGGCTGCAGGTGAATATCTGCTCCAGCATTAACCTCCATGGGCTGCAGGGGGACAGCCTGCCTCACCATGGTCTTCACCCCGGGCTGCAGGGGAATCTCTGCTCCGGCGCCAGGAGCGCCTCCTCTCTCCAGCTGCAGTTGCTGCTGCCCTGCAAGTTTTTTTTCCCCTTTTTAAGTATGTTATCCCAGAAGCCCTGCCACCATCGCTGATGGGCTCAGCATTGGCCAACGGCAGGTTGAAGCCAGCTGGCATTGCTCTGTTGGACATCAGGGAAGCTTCTGGCATCTTCTCACAGCAGCCCCCTGCTACCAAAACCTTGCCCTGCAAACCCAGTAGAGATAGCTATGTGGGAAAATGAACTTGCTGAGAACTCGCTGTTCAAAAAACCCCCACCAAACTACCACTTTATCTCTCTCCCCCACCTACTAAATACTCTTCCACTCAGATCAGGGCGATGTGGATGACGGTATGGTTGGAAGAGTGGCACATGCATGGGAAAAGAAATGCAGGAGAAGATGGCAAGCAGTTGTACAGGTTTACATATTTTAGGTCAGTCTTGAAGCTACACGGTAAGGCCAGCATAGTAGTTTTTATTTTATTGTTTTCCCTTTATTATCTTAATTAATACACATTTCATAGGCAATGTGTTGTAAGGCTGACTAGTTCTGTGCAACAGAGATTAATTTATTTTCTTCCGAATTGTTGATCTCCCAGGCAGAATTCTATGTTTTGATGAAAATTTTGAGGAGGACATCTTGTATTGCATCTTTTGAAAAATGCCATTATGAGGGGTGTTTTTTGTTTGTTTTAAAATATACTTAATTTTTAAGTTGCTTTTCATCACTTGTATTCTTAATTTTCTCTTACGTGTTTTTCACCAACTTGTTCTTTTCATATTTAGCCTTAGTCCCTCCGATACATCTCTTCTATGCAATTCTTGAGGTCTTGAAAAATGGACAGATTAACAACAGGAACACTTTAAAAAATTAGATTTTCTTATCTAATTCAAGGTTGTTTGTTTTGTTTTGTTTTTTTTTTCAAATTCTGCCTTGTGCTGTATTTGAAAATAGGAATCATGAAAGAAAAAGAAATCAGTATGTTTCAAAATTTCACCTTCCATTTTTTTCTTTAAATAACTATTTTCATTTTTCTCCTGAAAATTTTAGGCTGCCAAAAAAATGTTTTAAAATCATCTCTTCCCCCCACCCCCTTTTCTGTAGCTGTCTATATAATCAGATGCAATTCTTACAACACCTTTTTGCTGGCATTATTTTTGATTCCAAACTGGGAACCAGGTTTCATAACTCCGTGGTCATACTTGAAAAAAACTTGAATGCAGCATTACTTTCAGTTAATGTTGTATAACAAAAGCAGTTCTGTATGCTCTCCAGTAATCATTTTGGAGTTAGGCAGTTACTCTGTATCTGTGCAAAGAGAAGCGGTTTGAAGATCCATTCAGTCCAGCCTTGAAAGCACACAGG